ACTCACACACACACACACTCTCACACACACACACACACACACACTCTCACACACTCAAACTCACACACACTCAAACTCACACACACTCACACTCTCACTCTCTCACACACACACTCTCACAGACACACACACTCTCACAGACACACACACTCACACACACTCTCACTAACACGCACTCTCACACACGCACACACACACACACACGCACACACTCACACACACACACACACTCACACACACACACACACACTCTCACAGACACACACACACACACATACATTTTGGGAGAAATGGATGATTTCAGGATTCGTTCAGGAGTGAAACCGGATTGAATCAGAAGTGTCTTGTTATTTTCTCCGTCTGTCTGATGTTGGCAGGGCTGTGATCGCTCCCATGCTGTCTCGACACGGCAAGCTCTGGTCGAACTTCTGGGGCGCTCTGAGTCCGGAGGGCTTTTACTCGCGCTCGGAGGACTACATCGACATCGTCCAGAGCAAGAGAGTGTGAGTGTCATTCTCTGTCTGTGTGAGTGTGTGTGTGAGTGTGTCAGTGTGTGTGTCAGTGTGTGTGTGAGTGTGTGTGAGTGAGTGTGTGAGTGTGTATATCAGTACAGCAGCCTGACGTCTCCTCCTGTCCTCCAGAGGTTTGTGGAACGTTCCCTACATCACTCAGGTCTATCTGATCCGCGGAGAGACTCTGCGCTCGCGTCTGGCCCCCGTTTCTCTCTACCAGCAGGAGGGCATGGATCCAGACATGATCTTCTGCAAGAGCGTGCGCGAGCAGGTGAGCGTGCTTTAAAAATAACTTCTGGTTCTGCATCAGTCAGCCAGTGACATTATAAATATTGAAACTACGGCATGAATATTATAGGGCCCTTTGATTTATGCAATGTGGGAAACGTGGAACGGAATCACAGAATCCAGTCAATTTACGGAATGTCATGGAATTTGGGTAAAATTTGGATAAAGAAATTAAAAGTAGGGCTGATATCACAATATGGACAAGTGTCTATGAATATTCGGTTTAGCTCAAAGAAATTATGACATCAGAAATCCAGAAAAAAATTTAAACATGCAACACAATATTTCTGAAAAATGAAAACATTTTATAGGGCATTTTATAATAATAAATTATTAAATTGGGGAAGTTACATGAATTCAAGTGTTTAAAGAGAAAACAAAACACCAAACTTTAGGTTTATTCCTCTCTATATTCTGAAGGTTTCTTCATATTTCATTCACACTGATTTATACAACATTTTACTCCTGAAACATAGCGAAAATGTGTTTATTTTCTGTCTGTTGAGAGTATTTTCTGATTTATGGAGCGATAAAAAGAGAAATCCAGAATCCCCTCTATAAGAATCTTTAACATCTAATATGACGACAAAATCTGACATGAATTATGAATCTGGATTCAGATTTCTGTTCTGTAAATCTATGCAAATTAGTGCATATTTATTTAGACAATTCTTTTAGATTTCAGAACATTTGTAGTACAAAAAAAATGTTTGCAGTTCTTGCTGTAATCAATCAGCTGGGGAAGTAGAGTGATACTGATCAGGTAATATGTGACTCTATTCACCTGTAGTGTCTGTCTTTACACTGTGTGAGTGAGGACAGGTGCTAGATCGAGTCAGTTAAACATGCTCGTGTTTGTGTTTGTGTGTCTCGTCCTGCAGGGCGTCTTCATGTTCGTGTCCAACAGGGATGAGTTCGGCCGTCTGATCTCCTCCACCAATTACAACATCAGCCGTCTTCATCCGGACATGTGGCAGATATTCGACAACCCAGTGGTGAGAGATTCACACGTGAAGCACACGAGTGCAGAGACACGCATGCGAGCGCAGACTAACCCTGTGTGTGTCTCTGTGTGTGTGTCTCTCTGTGTGTGTGTGTCTCTCTGTGTGTGTGTGT